GATTTGTTGACAATAACAAAAATAGGGAACATTGCCAGCCCTGTCCTTTGAGGAAAGAAAGACAACTACGGGTCTAAAGTAGCATTTTGGTGAGAAACATTCAGTCACATACTTTAAAAGCTGAAGATTTTGCTTTGTAATATCCTGATAAAAACATTCTGCTGTTTAAATCGGTTCAAATTTTGGATAAATTCAACCACAAAGGCACCATTTACAACCACAAAGCCTTCTGAACATCTCTGCAACTCTTTAATCCAAAGCAATGCCATCCGAGGTTCATGGGTAACGTATAAATCAGAGCAATTCACCAAACCAAACTAATAAAATATGAAATAATTCAAGTTCCACATCAGTGTTTGTTCGTGTCTCCCCACCCCAGTGTGATGTTGGTTACTGGCATCGTGATCCGGTTTGAACATGCATCGTACGTTGCCAGAGGTTGCTGGACATCTAGACAACGACGTGTTTTTCCACATCTCATCTGCTTGAAAGTGGGAACCAGTTTTCTCCATCTGATCGGATGGCACACCCCACTACCCCAACACCCATGAACACACACTGCTTGAGAGGAGCACAGCGCTAACCGCATCCGACCACCTTGTGTCTCATTCACACATTGCTCTACATACCTTATAGTTAAGGAAAATAACAATTTCCCCTCAAAAAGTAAACGGACCAGATGATTTCCTGTCCCTTAGTTCTCGCCACCGTTGAACAGCCACAGCGATATTACTCCAGTTTGGAGCGTTTCTACTTCCATCTTCCAACCATCTTCTAACCATCTTCTTGTGCGACTAGCTCCGTAGCTTTAGCAATATTGTTTTTATTTTGTATTAGTTTAATTATGTAAATGTATTTGCCCCAGTGCAGTTAATTTACAGCATGTTTTATCTGCTTATTAGTATTTATTTTCACTAATGTATTCTTTTTATTCCATTTACTTCTACATGAGTTTAATTGTCTGATTTCTCTGCCTCCTAAAATGTTTTTAATCGTGGTTTTGGCCA